CTATCTATCTATCTATCTATCTATCTATCTATCTATCTATCTATCTATCTATCTATCTATCTAAAACAGTTTCCTATTGACCTGGAATTCACTATTGACCTGGCTGGCTATTTAGCCCTGGGGACCTGCCTATCTCCTCTTCCCCAGAGCACTATTCTTTTTTTTTGTTTTTTGTTTGTTTGTTTTTTTTCGAGACAAGGTTTCTCTGTGTAGCCCTGGCTGTCCTGGAACTCACTCTGTAGACCAGGCTAGCCTCGAACTCTTGAACTCAGAAATCTGCCTGCCTCTGCCTCCCAAGTGCTGGAATTAAAGGCGTGCACCACCACCACCCGGCTGCTTATTCTTTTTTTTTTTTTTAAATTGGATATTTTATTTATTTACATTTCAGATGTCATCCCCTTTCCCCAACCCTCCCCTAGAAACCCCCTATCCTATCCCCCCTCCTCCTTCTTGCTTTTTTTCCTTTATTAGTATTTTAAGTTAACATACAAAGTACTGGGTTTTATTGCAGCATCCTCATACATGTGCCATTAGAGTTCTGATTTGTTCCCCTCTGCCTCTTCCCTTTCTTCCTCCAGCTAGTTTCCTCATCTGATTTCCTGTCACATGTATTCCATCACCCTCCTTCCTCACCCTTTTTTTTTAAATTAGTAACTTTTTAAAAAATGTTAATCAAAGGCTTTATAAGTTTGGTAATGCTCAATAACAAGACGCCCATACAATCAGAAGTGTAACCCAATACCCAACCTAGATATACCAACTATCTTTGACAGGCGGAGACATGCGAACATCCACCTCCATGTCTCTGTCTCTGATCTCCTAGCCCCAGAGCACTATTCTAACTTTTCAAATACACTACAAATGCACATGTGTGTACGTGTAGTGATTTGAATGAATGACATCATAGGCTCATAGGGAGTGGTACTACTAGGAAATGTGGCCTTGTTGTAGGAAATGTGTCACTAGGGGTGTGCTCTGAGGTTTCAGGAGCTCAAGCCAGACCCAGTGGTTCATATTGTCTCTTCCTGTTGCCTGCTGATCCAGATATAGAACTCTTAGCTCCTACTCCAGCACCATGTCTGCCTGTACCCTGCCATGCTTCCCACCATAATAATAATAATAATGGACTAAACTGTACTAAACTCTGGACTGTAATGAACTAAACCTCTGAACTTTAAGTTAGCTCCAATTAAATGTTTTCTTTTATAAAAGTTGCTGTGGTCATGTTGTCTCTTCCTAGCAACAGGACATTGTCTAAAACAGTGGGTGCAAACCATGGTGCACATGTAAAAGTCAGAAGACAGTTTGTGGCAGTTGGTTCTTTCCTTCTACCATGTGGGTCCTAAGAACTGAACTCAGATTGTCAAGCTTAGTGTAAATACCTTTACCTGCTGAGCAACTTGCTAAGACTATGTCTTAGCAAGTTCCAGAACACCCAAAGCTACATAGAGAGTCTTTGTGACAAACAATCATCATCAAAACAAAAACTAAAAGAAAAAAAGGAAAGGCTAGAGCTATAGCTCAATAGTAGAGCACCTGCCTTGTATGTGTAAGGTCCTGGGCTCAATCCCCAAGCTAGGGGGGCAGAGGGCATAGTTTAGAAAAGCAAAGGAAAAACTGAGGAGGGTAGAGATTATGCATCTGTCAGGGCTGCAAACTACACAATACACTGTGTTTTCAGAGGCTGAGATTATTTAAAAAAAAAAAGGGAGGAGGAGTACAGGCAGGCAAAGGGTCTCAACTACATAGCCCCTAGAACTTAAGGCATGCCTGAACTTAAAGAGCTCTGCTTGCCTTGGCCTCCCAAATGCTGCGATTCTGGCATGTATTACCATGCCTGGCATTCTTGTTCTGAGGGGTAACCCTGTGCTTATAACCTGTTCATTCACACAGGAGCTACTTGAGTGTCTACTGTTTGTCAGGTTTGAAGACATCTCGAGGAGTTCAAACTCTTGGAAAAGCAGAAGAGTAAGAGGCGTTTGTTTGTCTTCGTGTTTACTAAGAAGTCCCTTCACATATGAAGGTTGTAAACATGACACATTTCCAGGTATGGAAGCAGAGGCAGGTGGGTCTCTGAGTTTGAGGCCAGCCTTATCAACATAGTGAGTTCTAGGCCAGCTAGGGAGACACACTGAGACCCTGTCCCAACAAAACAAAACAAAACAAAACAAAACAAAACAAAACAAAACAAAACAAAAC